AGTCATTTCAAGCCCAAGTATTAATATTCAGCAACATTGTTGGAGCAGAGTTGTGTCACTGTAAAGGAGTAGGGCAGAACCTCCCCTTGAGGAGTGACAATTACTACGCCAGCACCGGTTCCTCCACGATGTGAAGCACCATCAAGTACATCTTCCATGGAGGTTATAATTCAATGACCATTGCGTCTTCATCAGGTATTTCATCAGTTAGTTCTCAGTCATCAGATATCGGATGATCTTCCAAGAAGTCTACCAATGATTGTCCTTTTACAGCCTTTTGAGGGACGTACACAATCTCGAATTGTTGAAATTGGAGGTACCATCTCGCTAGTCGATCACTAAGAATAGGTTTCGACATCACGAACTTGATGGGATTTGCTTTAGGAACAAGACGAACAACATGAGCTTAAAAGTAGTGCTTCAACTTTTGAATTGAGAAGACTAGTGCCAAACACGACTTTTCCATTGGCGAATAATTCAGCTCGTTTGGTATCATCATCCTGCTCAAGTAGTAAAGAGTGTTTTCTTTACCCTCACTATTTTCTTGGGCCAATAGCGCTCCAACAGACCTTTTTTGTGCTGAAATATATTGTATCAACGGCTTTCTAGGTATAGGGGCTGCCAAAACTGGAGGCTTCATCAAGTAAGTTTTGATGCTTTCAAAGGCATTGCTACAGCTTGGTCCCACTTGAAAGGAATGCCTTTCTTCATGAGGCGAATGAATGGTTGGCACCTCCCAACTACGTTTGAGTTGAATCTCCTAAGGTATGCTAGCTTTCCTTGCAGACTTTTCAATTCATGAATATCGCGAGGCTCAGGAATTTTAAAAATGGCATCCACTTTGGTTTGATCAATTTCGATCCCTCGATGTCGGACGATAAAACCAAGGAACTTTCCAAAAGTAAATCCAAAGGCACAATTCAATGGATTCATCCTAAGTTGGTACCTTTGGAGCAATTCAAACACCATTCTCAAGTCTTTCAAGTGGTCGCCCCTCTTTCTTGATTTTACCACAAGTCGTCCACATAGCATTCAACATTCTTGTGGAGAAGGTCATCAAAGATATTTTGCATAGCTCTTTGGTAAGTGGCACCAGCGTTCCTCAAGCCAAAAGGCATTACCTTTTAGCAATAAATACCCTAGGGCATGAGGAATGCAGTAAGCTCTTCATCTTTTGGTGGCATGCGAATTTGGTTATAGCCCGACGAACCGTCCATGAAAGACATTGCCTCATAACCAGTAGTAGCATCGATCATCACCTTTAGAATAGGAAGCAAGAATTTACCTTTGAGACACGTATTGTTGAGATCCTTGAAGTCAACGCACACCCTAATCTAGTCATTCTTCTTCCTTACAGGGACAATACTTGAGACCCATATTTGGTATTTAACTTCACAAATAAATCCAGCTTCAATGAGTTTGTTAACTTCACTTTCAATCAAGGGAACCCAGTCCAGCCTAAAGCGCCTTTGAGCTTGCTTAACAGGACGAGCGCCATTCTTGACTACAAGGTGATGGACTGCTACTTTAGGGTCCAAGCCAGGCATCTCTTTGTAACTCCAATCAATGGCATCCTTAAACTCCTTGAGTAACTCTGTATAATTTCTTTCTTTATCGGCTACTAGTAAAGCACTTAGATAAGTGGGTCTCGGTTCTTCATCAGTGCCAAAGTTTACTTCTTTCAAAGTGTCCACTGTTGGCTTTACCTCTTCTTCAAATTCAGGCGGAGCATCCTTTGCATCTTCATCTTCTTGAGGGTCCCCATCATTGAAGGATATGTGATAACACGGTGAAACGTCCTCAAATTTCTCATCATCCTCCATTAGAGATGAAACACCATGCTCGCTTTGTGCAGTAACATGATACGAAGAACTCACACTTTCTTCGTCTTCGTCAAATTTCCTAGTGTAGACCATAGTGTATGGCTTTACCTTCAGTACTTCTTTACAGGAAACCACATGTTTTGTTTGTCGCCTCATTCTAGAAGGAACCAATCTTTGAAAATCCTTAGAGATCTTCTGGATTCTAGGCGAAGCGGGTGTTCTTATGCTTTGATGATTTCTCTGGAACTTGTTCCCCTTCTTTAATGGACCAAATCTTCCAAATAAGGAAGTCCTGACAGTTGATTATCTAAGTTGATCAAAGATAGAAGGCATTTTAGAAGCGGATGATTCATCTTTTAAAGTGATATAAATGTTGCTCGCCCTTCATATGGAGATGCGCACTGGTGACAGTTGCTTGTATCCTAAACCTTCATGTATTTTCCTCGTAGCATCTTTGATGGGAGCTTACCTAACTTTAATGGCTCGTTAGGATTGTATCTAGCTTTTGCAAATAGCCTATAAGCATTAGGATCAAGACCTTCATATGTTCTCTTTGTAGGGAGTGCCACATTCTGCAAATGATTTTGGGCCACAAACCCTGCAAGTGGCATTGAGGACAACTTTACTGCCTCAATTCGTTTGACCGGAAGAGTTAACCCTTTTAGCGTGTTAGTTTGGAGATCAGATGATTCACTTTCATCTTTCTTCTTTTTAGGGACATATTGGAGCGCATGAGTTACTTTCTTTCCATAAGACACAATATCCACTCTATAAGATTTATTCGAGTTAGGTTGTACCTCCTCAGTAATAGCTTTGGCTTTACCAGCAGCCACCCCAACTCTTTTAGTCATGGACTCGTCATTCTTGCCATTCGTGACATCATCAGGTTTTAGCTCCTTCATAATACGGTTCTTCAAATAGAACTTTGCATCGGCCAAGTGTGACTCAGCGCCGGTGAACGGGTCGTCATCAGCAATAATCTTTTTCTCGACTTCACCGTTGTAGTACTTCAAACATAGATGGTAGGTAGATGGAACCAATTTATTCTCATGTATCCAAGGCCTTCCAAGGAAGACGTTGTATGAAGTCTTTGCATCGATCACATGCAGCCATGCACTTGATTGCATATCTTCAATAGTGATCCCCAACCTGATCGTGCCTATGGCTCTTTGCCCCCTTTGTTGAATCCTTGAATCATCACATGCCTTTCCGAGAGTTCATTCATGGGAATGCCAAGTTCTTTCACAGGGCAAATTGGCAAGATGTTCACTGAGGATCCTCTATCAACCAAAATTCGATTTACTCTTTCATCGCGCATATGGCCAACCAGGTCCAGCGGGCGGTTATGAGGAGTGTCACCTAGTAGAAGACCGTCATTTGTGAACGTAAATTTTTCCTCGCTAGCATTAACTTCTTGAGGAATACACTCGATGAGCTCTTCCAAAGATAGTGCCAACGGTAGGTCATCATTCTTTTTTTTCTCTTTGCCAGCGTGGCAACAGGCCTTACTACCACTATGAAAAATCTTCATGCGGAACCAACTTGGAAAGAACTCCACCAAGGTCACTGGATGTCATGGCATTTGAGGGTGGTGCACTTTCACTTTTCCTTCTTCAAATGCTTAACTAGATTCCGTTTCCTTGGTCTTTTTACCATCATCTTCCTTGTAGGTTGTTTTATTGATTCTTTTCGTGGGAACCTTTTATGGCACCTACGACGACTCACCAATTCCAACCTTCATCATCATCATGTTGATCAACTTCAACTTTGTTGTTCCCCAGTAATTCTTCATCCATACTTTCTTTAAAACTACATAATTCATCTTGACTGAATGAATCAAAGGTGATAGAGACTTGGTTTGCGCTTGATTTCTCATCTTCAAGCACAATCTTTTTTTTCATGAGCTAAGTCCATAACTTTGTCCTTGAAGACAAAGCATTTCTCTAGAGGGTGGCTCACAAGTCGATGGTATTTGTATTAATTTGGGTCATTCATTCTCCCAGCTTCATTTGGCCGCTTCTGTCACACCCCAAAAAACGAGGAGCGCGACCGGTGCTCAACCGAGTAAACCCGACTGCGCATGCTTGTTAGGTTTCATTCTACTCCAACTAATTCATGAATAAAGAGGAGATGAAATCCATTAATCATACATTGTAAATATTTCAATAACAACTTCCATTTTGTTTCCATTAGCTGTTTCAACCATAATATCCAAAATATTATAATTTTTATAGATGTGAAGAAAAATATATTTGCCAAATACCAATATTTCTAATTTAGTTTCCAATATCCAACACCACCCACAACTGTCTATGGAGCCTCTAAGTACAATTGAAGAGTAATATGGAAATGCCGGCAACAAGGCTCCGGCTATACCTCAAAATACAAAGTACACGATAACCAAATGACACAGGACCCCGAAATGAAGTGGGGATCACCAAGTTAGCTGAAAGGAGCGTATCGCTATCACTGATCACTGTCGCCTACTGTGGAACCACCTGCATCCATTAAAGATGCAGCGCCCCGGCAAAAGGGACGTTAGTACTGTCGAATATATTTATATATAATAGGAGAGGCAAAGAAATATTATGATGATAAGTGGCGCAACATTAAATTGACACGTAAAAAAATTTTGGACAATTCTCCAATTTTGTTGGAGTTTCAATATATTTAAAAAAAAAATGTAAAGGATAGCTTTTTTTTTTCCGGAATTCAAAATTTCAGGCAGTTTTATTTTTTAGAATACAAAATTTCAGAATTTTTTACTTTTTTAAAAATTAACTGATTTTACATGGCACAATTAAAGGGCACGTTTTTTCCACTATAAAAAAGAAAACTGATTTTAAAGCATCCACGTATTGAGTAAAAATTAAAGCACCCTTTGAAAGGCTCCTTCTGCCTTCTTATCCGTTTACTTCCCTAAAAAAGCCAAAAAAAACTTCCCTTTCGTCCCATTCATCTTCTTAACTACTATTATGTCTTCTTTGTCACACACAATTTTACATACAATCAGCAGTCAATACCTTAGAATTCAGATATGATACATAGCATCAGTGGAAGACGGGTCGAATAAGTAGAGCGGAGAAAGAATTAGAAACGGTTGTTCGTTATATTAATTTTAATGGAGTCCCTTTTTGTTGAAGGACACAATTCATGACATGATCTACAGAAAAAAAAATGAGGAATTGGAGGCATGATAATGCACATGGAAGATACCGCGACAAGACGATGAAGGGAAAGGATATTTCTGTTGACGAAGCTGGTGAAGATAAAATAGAGGCTTTTGCTGATCAAGAGAATGGTGAAGAGTTTGTAAAAGATGGTGTACCGAGCACTGTGAAGAAGCTGAGACACTAGATGATGAGCGTGCTCAACTGGCTACCCATGCAAAGGAACGAATGAAGAGGAAAGAGCTGGAAGTATTTATTGGTGGGTTAGACCGTGATGCTGTGGAGGAGGATCTAAAAAGGGTGTTCCGGCATGTTGGAGAGGTAATTGATATCCGAATGCACAGAGAGGTGTCAACGAACAAGAATAAGGGATACGCATTCGTGAAGTTTGCAACTAAGGAGCAAGCAAGCCGTGCTTTGTCTGAAATGAGAAACTCAGTTGTGTATGATTTTTTTCCAAGTCATATTTGTGTATATTTGGAATTGCACTATGATTCAAATTTATTTTTTTGACATCGGAGAAAGCGATGTGGCACTGCTCCAAGTGAGGACATTAATGACACCTTATTCTTAGGAAATATTTGCAATACATGGACAAAGGAAGGCGTAAGTGATATAACCAATCCTTGCTGACTCATTTTCAGGATGACTCTATTAAACCTTTGACAATACAGGATTTAGAAAAGTATGCATGATTGTTAATAACAAAAAAATTATCTATTGAAATTAACAAGAAAATTAACTATCTAAATTAACTACTCAAACATGGGTGAAGGTTGGTTTATGTTAATCAATTTCTTTATTTCATTTTAAATCATTTTAATTTTTCTTTTTTGAAATAAAAAGTGTATTTATTCATTAAAATTCAAACAATATTATCGAAAAAAATATAATAAAATTTAAAATAAAAAAATATTTTCAAGAGTAATAGAATATATATCTTCTATTGTGTTACAAAAAAAAATTAGCAGACAAAAATATTAAACAAGTAAGATGCTAATAATTTCTATTAACAATATAATTATACTAAATATTGGATAATATAATAAATAAAAATACATAACAAAAAATTATTTGATGACTATATAAGTCCCTTTAATTTAATGGAGATTTTATTTATTAAAATTCAGACAATATCTATTCTATTTATATAGAATAGGAGAATCAAATCATTGTGATAATTCCAAATGTAACATCAAAAAATTAACAAAGTGACAAATATTTTTTTTAATATTGACCGCGCATCGCGCGGGTAGGACTACTAGTAGTACTAGTATGTAAATCTAAAAATAATCTTTCAAAATAGAATAACCATACAAGAAAAGAAAATCCATAGAAACAGCAAGTCACAATCAATAATATCCAAATGCCCAATTGAAACATAACAATTTTCAAAATACGAAAGTAATACATATTTATAGTTGGGAGATCTTTAGCACCGATAATACCACAGTTCACGATACGACTATCCACAATACCACTGTTCACAATGCCACTATTCATAATGCCACCGTACTCTTGGCACGGAGTCTGATCACGACCCAATCGGCTAGGTCATCTCACTGGAGACATCCTCTATAATCTCAATTCTCGTTTCAATTTCGGTTTCAATTTTCTGCACAATACCACCATGTGTGCGGCATGTCCGATCACGGCCCGATTGACTAGGTCGTCTTACTCAAGACATTTCCATTTTCCATCAATCATCTCATTCCACATTTCCCACACTCATTTTAATTTCTTCGGCACTAGTGGCCACAATAGTTATGTCACACTTGGCACTTGACCGCATTTCATAATTCGAGTTCTTTCCACATATTTCACATTAATATCAATTTCGTCAACAAGCCTTTCAATTCAAGATATTAAGTGCACACAGGAGAAAATTATGAATCGTGTGCATATAGAGGCTTTCACATACTTTGGCAATTTAACACATATCCCATATCTTCAATACATCATCAAGTGAGATAGCATAATGCGAGCATTCAAATACATATTGCACATAAATTCTTACAAAACCAGCCCGTTCGGAATATCATTTTCTACATCAATCATGGTTGAAACTTACATCAATCGTATGGACACCATGGGGGGTTCAATTTCTAAGAAGAGGGGGTTTTAGCCAAATAGAGCTTTTAGGCAAATTCTACTTTTTGAAGTCATCTTAAAACAGTTGAGTCGAGGCTCGTTTCGTAATCTGTTTCATAAATTTTCTCATTTCATAGGCATCCCTAGGCACAATTATAGACGTTATCCACACTCTATTTCCGCACTTCATTTAATTCGTTTTCAAACCTCTTTATAGTTTATCAGCAACTAAACACACTCAATCAGGACTTTTAGTACACATACGAGCAATTAGGAGTATTCAGCATATCGAGTTTTCCTCACCTAATTGGTATACCAGTTTTCAATTAAGGTACAACTCAAAGCCACACCATTTTATAAGCAACCCATACTTTAAACATCTATCGTTCAATATAAGGCTCGCTCGAATTAATTAAGTTTTATGAGTTTATAGGGGATAACCCGAAACGTAGAAATTAGGGGTTTGGGCTGATCATACTTAAACTTACGGAAACATTATGGAATTCAATTCCGAGAGAGGAAGTTTAGCCAACATACCTAGTTGAGCTTTCCTTAAGTTACTACAACACACCAACACCTCTAGCAATAATAATCTATAAGGAGATAGAGAAAATCGATTAATAATTAGAAAGATTTCCCATGGTGTAACTCTCTTAGGAATTTCATCAAACACCTAATCATGTGAAATAGACTACAAGGTTCTACAATGGAAATTCCTTCTTCCCTCAACCAATTTCAACAAGAACAACCCAAAATAGTTCATTAATCCCACATACTATAACTTAGTGTCACATGCATGGCCTATTTCTAACCCCACAATATATTTTTGAAGTCATAATCTCTTATATGAAATCTTAGAAGTAGGACTTACCCGGAAGGATAATGAGCTAGAGATTAGCTTCCTTGATTCTTGAAAATTTGTGCAAGATTGGGTGATTGGAAGGATAGGTTCCCTCTTTCTCTCAATATATGCTCTCACCTCTCTCTAGATTCATTAGGAAATAGCCCCAAATAAAGCCCCAAGCCTATTTATCAAAATTGGATCGGATATGAAAATTTCCAAAAATGACCCCCGAAGTCAATTATGTGGTGCAATTATGCTATAAAGCATAATCGTTTTGTGAGCAGCAGAATTGTAGCATATCAATTATACGACAACATAATCAATTATACGACAGCATAATCAATATGCGACAGCATAATAGTTTGCCCATCTCTGCTCTACTATGTGATGCTTATGCGGTCCGCGGAACCGTTTTGCGGTCGCAAAATTGATCGCAGATCTAGCCTTTGGTAATTTGATCATAACTTTGTGTAGGATGTCCAAATGACGAACGGTTTGAGCGTTGGGAACTAGACTCGAAGATCTTTCATTTAATAGGTTCTTCATCACATAACACCATATATACATGTAGATATGCTCGTCCAAAGTTTGGACTTGCGCGAACTCCTTTGGAATTTTAGCCTATTATGTAATTTTCTAACTTGACTTAGACTTAAGCCTCTCATTAGACCCCACATTATGACTTATACACTTATTTATCATATCCAATTGATATACATCATTTTAATAGAACATAAAATATTATAATTAGCCTACCCGACATGACAAAATCCTAAATTACTTAGCGAAGTTTTTCGGGGCCTTACAGCTTCATCTCCGGAAGCTCAACGAGATTTAACTCGAGGAGTTCTTCAAAAAATGCTGGCACATCAAAATCCAGAAATGGGTACTCCTTCTCTTTCATTTCTTTAAGAGTCAACTTTCCACTTGTCTTATCTTGAAAAGAAGTGGATTTTGTACTCTGCTTTTTGTTCACCTTCGCCGTGAACTTCATAGGTGATGTGTTGATATTCATAGCTTCTTTGTTTTCAAACTTGGGTACGAACTTACTCCATTTCCTGACTTCTTGCTAGTCATTCCCTTTGCGAGGTTCATAGATAGGTAGACTTTCATTTCCAGCAAAGGCCATGCTCAACTCCATGTCATGGGCATGAGTTGCAAGTTCTTCAAATGTGCTAGGTTTGATACTTTGCAAGATGTAGCGCAGTCCATAATGCATGCCTTGGATGCACATATCTATGCTAGAAGCTTCACTAAGCCTGTCTTTGCAGTTGAGGCTTGAATTTCTCCAACGATTGATAAAGTCGATAGCTGGTTCACCTTTCCGTTGACGAGTGTTTGTAAGTTCCACCATGCTCACAGTGTGCCTTGTGCTATAAAAGCGACTGAGGAACTCTTGCTCTAAATGATCCCAACTATCAATAGATCCCGCCTCGAGGTCTTTATACCAATCAAAAGCATTTCCTTTTAGCGAACGGATAAACTGCTTGATGAGGTAATCTCTATAAGTCCCAACATTGTTGCATGTCCCAACGAAGTGTGCCACGTGTTGCTTTGGATTGCCTTTTCCATCAAACTGCTGAAGCTTTGGAGGTTGATAGCCAGCAGGCATCTTCAACATATCGATCCTCGCAGTATATGACTTTGCGTATGTAAGAGAGGACCTGGTAGCAACTTTGTACTTGTTTTTAATAGTTCCTTCAATGAACTCCTTTAGTTGATCGATTGGAATCATCCCTTCAGATGAGATAGGGATAGCCCTAGCGGATGCTACTTGTCTTGGGGGAGAATTACTCTCTGGAACCTCTGGGAGCTTGCCATGTGCATGGGTTGGATTCTTCTTCCATCAAGGTTCCCACCCTGTCAGTTAGTTTGTCGATTCTAGCATCTTGATTTTGCATGCACTTGGTCAAGCCAGCGATTGCTTCCGTCAAGTTTGCCAACCGCTCTTCCACATGTCACCATGGTTTGCATGATTGTTGTGGATGATAAGGAGTAGCTTGGATTGTCACACAGATTGATTCTCGAATGGCTCACGCTATGCGGTGTAAGTGGGAAAGATCCATCACTTGAAATATCATCATCTTCCTTCACANATATATATATATATATATATATATATATATATATATATATATATATATATATATATTCAATTTAGCAAGCGTAACAACCCGAGGGGATTCTGCTGCCTACAAATGCCGAAGGGGTAATAAAGACGACCCTCTTAAAGTAGTAGATGGCGATATGGGCTACAATATTCTTGGGAGACCATGGATACATGAGATGAAGGATGTGCCATCAACATACCATCAACTTCTGAAATTCTCAGCTCCGTAGGGAATTAAACAAATAAGAGGAGACCAACCAACATCAAGGGAGATGAACGCGATCTCGGTTTTTAGTAGCAAAGGGAAGGAGCATGAGGCATAGCAATTACAGGAACCGACGCCCACTCCCGAGCCAAACGAAGACAAGAAGGGGGAGGAGTCGTCGGACTCTTATCAGGTACCAATATAGTTCCAAGTACCGAAAGAAACAGATGCAACCAAATCCATAGCGGAAGAACTCGAGTAGGTGACACTGTTTGAGAAATTCCTGGAGAGGAAGTTCCACTTGGGGACATGATTAAACCCCGAGCTCAGGTCAGGATTCATAGAATTTCTTAAATTTAACATTGATTATTTTGCATGGTCGCATGTGGATATGACAGGTATTCAGTCAGAGGTGGCCGTGCATAATTTAAGCTTAGATATAATAATCCCTCCGGTAAGGAAGAAGAAACACCCGAGGTTAGAAATAAATTTGTCAAAGAAGAGGTAACTCGATTGCTTGAAGATGAAGGTACACAATCTCCTGTTTATTATGTTAGTAAAATTTTAACGGGAGCGGAAACTTGCTACCCACACCTAAAAAAATTAGCCTTAGCTCTTTTGATCGCCGCTGGAAAGCTTAGGCCTTATTTTAAATGTCACACGATAGCCGTGGTGACAACCTTTTCCCCGCGGAATATCCTTCACAAACCTGAAATTTCAGGTTGACTTGCCAAGTGAGCAGTCGAAATGAGTGAATTTGACACATAGTATAAACCTAGGACTGAGATCAAGTCACAATGTACGCGGTGAAATCAGAGGGCCCGATTTCCCACCATTAAGTTATCTCGGGGAGGTACCTCGAGACCTCGAGGATATGAACCCACGACTTAGTCTTCTCCTTCGGGGCTTGTCAAGGCCCGGTTCGAGGCCGAGATAAAGACAAAGAGGGGAAGCCCCCGAGACACGCGGTTGAGTCTGACAGGGTCGGCCTATCTATCGCCTACGCTGAGGCGTTGCATCAAGCCATCACATCTCCGTATTTCATAAATTAAATATACATGTATTCGTGACTGAGTTCCTCTCCTATATAAAGGGGACTCGCCCTACCTTGTAAAGGACTGATGTTACTCCATTTTCTTCACAAGTGCAATAATATCTCTCTCTCTCTTTCTCTTCTTACTAAAAACTTATTGGCTCCCACTGATCCGAGGATACCTCGATATTCTTCGCCTTTATATGTGCTCTCAATTTTTTATATGTGTTCTTCGTCGTATAATTTAGTTTCGGCTATAAAGAGCTTTATTTGATCGTATCTCTAACTATTATGCTACCCTCGATTGACCCCGATAGCCCGAGCTCGATCTCGAGGTCGACCCCGAAGCCCCCATCGACCAAACCTACATCCGGGTAGCAGGCCCTCCGGTTCGATCATTATCTCGTTTTGACTCACGCTCCATCGTTAAATTTCATATTATTAGCATTATGTGCTGTAACAACTAGCTCGGGAATAGATCACATATTTTTAGAATCCCATTTTATAAATTTAATTATCGTTACCATTTTCGCGGTAAACAGTTTGGCGCCCACTGTGGGGGTAAAAATAATAGTGATTATTCTCTTGCTAGTTTCATTACACAAACGCATATCATCTTTCACACTTTTTCTTGTCCAAGATCCTTTGATTTCAGGTAAAAATGTCCGGCTCAGTAAACAGAGTTGAGAACGACCGCCTCGAAGATCACGGGGAAAGTG